CAGGCTGACTAAAGAGAGTGAGGAGTCTCCTTCTCAAGAGATTTTCAAGATCCATATGGACACTTTCCTGTAAAATCTACTGTAGGGAACCTGCTTTAGCAGGGGTTGGACTAGATGATCTCCAGAGATCCCTTCCAACTCCCATAGTTCTGTGATTCTGTGGAGGGTATAGCTGGGTTACTGAGAAGACACCACTCATCCTCAACGTATAGAGAGAATAGTCAAAGTCCTTCTGGTCTTTTAGCAAGAAGCAGGAGATTAAGGTTATGTCAAAGAGCATTATGGATAAAACCAGCGATGAGGTTACTCAAAATAAGGGCTCCATGGGACAAAAGCAGTTGGGGTAGGAACAAAAATGCAGTTGGATGCATATTGCTGAGGAGTTTGCATTACCATTCTCACATACAGCAGCGCCCAAGGATCAGTAAGAGAATAGAATAAGTTTTCATAAATCATGTTATAGCATTAGTGGTAGGCTACTCTATTTAGTTATGCAAAATGATGCTTGACTTGTGAGTTGCAGCCATGTGTGATATCAGGTTCAGATCAAGATGTTTCCTGAAAAATTGGCAAGACATTTGACTTACGATATGAGGAGAAAATCTACTCATATATCTGACTCTCTGTCTCTATAAGTAAAAATAAACAAACAAACAACAACAAAAAAAAACTTTCTCCTGAGTGAAATCACCTTGTTGTCTTTCATAGTAGATGCGTTTTTGAAAATGACAGGACTTTGGGATGTAACTAACTACTCATTAGAAATATTTTTGCCAGCAATGAGTCATGCACCCAGAAACACCTCCTTCCCTGCTCTACTCTGTAGTCAATGGGCTGTATTTAAAGCTTCCTTTGAATAAATTGGATGTGACTCATTTTAGAAGTAAATGGAAGCCCCTTTTGAGAGACTACTTTTCTTTTTCCTTTTTTTTTTTTTTATAGTATGTGCAGTGATCAGGAAACTCCATGTACTATACTCAAACAATAATAAACTTAATAAAATAATAAACTGTATAAATTGCCCTGTCATCTAGTTGGCCTAGATGGCAATTGAGTGCAATGTAACACTCCTGCTTCTTGCTTGTGTCTGTGGCAGTCAGCTTCTGTGATCTGACTCTGCTGTCCCAGCATCTCTTCCTTGAGTCTTATCTGCTTAAACCAGCTCACAAGGCATCAGGAACAGGTCCTGTACAAATTGCTTGATTGTCACTCATCTGCATGTTTAACAAGCAATACATCCGTTTTTGATTTGCAGGTCTCAAATCACCTTCATCATAATTATTAAAAGTATCTCAGTGTTTGCAGTTCTCCTCTTGCCCATTTGGTGAGTGGCTTTCAAGGTGTACATGTCAACAACAATCTGGGAGAAAACAAGCAAGCATAAGTGGATTGAACTAAAAATACTGATCTGCAGTCTCCTGCCCTTGCTGCATAATAGCCCAGGGGGCTGATTCACAGCAGATTTGGGAGAGTCCAGGAAGCCAGTTGCTAGTGTTGGTCACACTGTCTCAACTGATGATACCAGCTTTTAGGAACTTGGCCTTCATGCAGACTTGAAATGTCCTGCAGCTGCAGTGTGCACACATAGATTCTTACTTCAACACAATATCTAGCAAAATGTTTTTCTTTCGATGTCATAAGGGGGAAATGGAAGGCAGGAGAAGGAAGGGTGGTTGGGATGAGCAAGATGCAGCATTTCCCTTTACTCGTTTGGTGCCTTCAGACCTGTGCTTTCTACCTGGCAATTGCTGGGTGCACCAAAGGAACACATCTGCAACTCCTGCTCTATCAAAAGCTGTATCATCTCCTGACATGGCATAAGATGAGTAAGGTAAGAGGTTACTTACCTTTAAGTTTGTCCTGATTTGAGTCAACCTGGTTCTTTGAGAGGAGTCAGAGCAGGGCATGGGTGGTTGAAGACAGGGATCCATGATAACCCCATATCCATTTTGGTGCACTAGTTGGGCCCCAATGGAGCAGTGCAGCTGCCCTGCAGCCAGACCTATTGGAGAGAACAGCAGCCTTCACAAAGATTTCTTTCTTTGTTTTTTACCTTTTTATTTATTTATTTATTTATTTATTAGGTTTTGTTTTATTTTTTTTCCCTCCTCCACTTCAAAGAAAAACGATTTGCTCATTTAGTAATCACCAATGGGGACGTGAATTACCGAGCTCGCCCCCAGACTGGTTTTATCTCCTGGCCAATAAATCTCTAAACTGAAGCAATGAAGCTAAGTACTGCCGCTATTTCTGCGTTTTATTTCCATATTAATCAAAATGAGCCACTCCGCCTCCTCCCGGAGCCTGTTCTGCAGGGGAAGGGCATTCCTTAGGGGGACGGATAGGGTTTGTCAGATGTGGGAACCAGTGCAGAATGAGAGAGAGGAGAAAAAGAAAGCCAATAACAGAGGGGGCTGAAGGAGGCACCTGGGGGGACCAGCGTCATGTGTGCCATGAGCCCTGGGTGGGACCAGCAGGGTATCCCACTTGGGAGGACACGGCTGGGTCCTCAGAACTTCCCTGTTCTTGCTCCTTTTCATTCTCCCAGATTTATTTTATTTGCCAAATGTGTGCATATGTGTGTGGAGGAAATCCACCCAATGAAAGCCCCACAGTTTCCACTTTTCTCTCCATAGACATCTTCTCCCAGAGTTCTGTTTTTTTTTTTTCTTTTTCAGTATTGAAAAAGTCAAAAAGGAGGGCCGGCAGGAGAGCAGGGCCCTGGGAAGCTGTGCAAGCCCCCACAGGGAGCAATGCACTGAGGGGAAGGGAAGGGAAGGGAAGGGAAGGGAAGGGAAGGGAAGGGAAGGGAAGGGAAGGGAAGGGAAGGGAAGGGAAGGGAAGGGAAGGGAAGGGAAGGGAAGGGAAGGGAAGGGAAGGGAAGGGAAGGGAAGGGAAGGGAAGGGAAGGGAAGGGAAGGGAAGGGAAGGGAAGGGAAGGGAAGGGAAGGGAAGATCTCCTGCTGCATTGGGGTTCTTGCTGGGGACTGGGTTGGAGCACGAGGCACAGAATGGGGCACAGTAGATTGTGTTTCTGCTGAAGAGACTAAAGATTTCTGACCAGCCTGAGTGTGTAAAATTGTAACCCTGATCAAGGAGCCGGATCCTTGATGCTGAGACTTGGAGGCTAGGAAAGAGGAAGGGGGTAGAGCCAGGGCCAGGAGGGCAGGGGGGGCGGGGGGGCAGGGGGTAGGGAGGCAGGGAGCAGACCAGGAGACAGTCCCCCTACCTTCTGTAGCACACAGCACATCTCCATATAGCTCGGAATTCTCCCTCCTGGTCAGTCAGAGACATCTCTGTTACTACTCTTTTCTTCTGCCCCTCTCCAAGGGCTGGGAAGTGATGGTAGTGAGTCTAGAGCCACATGTTTTACTGTCCTAATGGGGCACGGGGTCCTGGGGCCACTGGGACTGTTGGACACTTATGGACACTTACGGCCCTCCATAGGGACACAGGAACCCAGCTCTGCCTCATGCAGTCCTATAGATTTGAGAAGGAGGGAGGGAGGGAGGGAAGAAGGAAGGAAGGAAGGAAGGAAGGAAGGAAGGAAGGAAGGAAGGAAGGAAGGAAGGAAGGAAACTGCGGCATCTCTTGGGCATCTTGTTGGTGTGGTAAATGAACATCAGCAGGAACTGGCTTTTATTACAACACAGTGTATTAGTTCATTGTGTTTGGGGTGCAAATATTCGTTCTCCTTTTGATTCTTCAATTTTTCATGTATACGTTCTGATGTCTGAACAACGATTTTGTTACCATTCCTCTGAGCTCACTCACGATACGATCTCCTCACGGTTCCTTGCTAACAGTTGCCTCTATCCCCGTTTAAGCGCGCCGTTCCCACCCCCGGCCGTTCTCCTCCGTGTTCCTTCTGCTCTTTCCTCGACGGCCCCTCCGCCGCCCGCATTTCGGAACACCGAGACCTCAGCGGCGAGCTGCTGTCGGGGCTTCGGGCATCGGAGCGGAGCCGCCCGCCCCGGCTGCTGCATGGAGGACGAGGCGGGGGGCGCGGGGCCGCACGGAGGGTTGGGGGGGGATCCGGGAAAGCCAAAGGAAAAGCCGGCCCGGCCCCAGACAGAGGCGGATCAAGAGGCGGTGTTTCATTTTTAACTTTATTTGGAAATCTCATCCAGAAACACTGGTCAATAATAAATATATCGATAGTTATCAAGAATATATAAAAAATAAAGACACGGGGTTGTCTTTGAGGCCCTACCCAAAACCAAACGAACGATCGAACAGAATTAATGATAATAGCAATTCAAGCGAACGCGCGGGGAAGGGCTCCGGGAAGGGGAAGGACAGCACCGGCGGCTCCGAGCCACTGCCGGGGGAGCGGCCCGGCCGCGCCGGCCCCGCATGCAAACCAGAACCGGAGCGGAACAAACGAAACAACGAAACAACCGCAAAACGAAACGGAACGGTTCCCCGAGAGGAGAACCGAGCGCCGAGGGGTTTCAGGGAGTGGGAGGCGAGGAGTTGGCAAAACGGGCCCGGAGGGGCCGCGCTTTGCACCGTTTCCCTCCTTATTTTGTTGGTTTGTTGTTGTTGTTGTTTTATAAGAGGACGCGGAGGGAGGAAGAAAGGAACCGCCAATAGAACCGCGCCGCAACCAACACCGAAAGAACTCCCGCAGCGCCCGAGGCGGTCCCGCCCGGGGAGATCCGCGCTGCGCCCCGCGGAGCTGAGCCCGAAGCCGGGGCGAGGCGGGAGGGAGGCTACGGGACGCCGCCGTTGGACGGAACAGTGAGAAAACCCCGCAAAAGGAGGAGAACCCCAAACCGATCCCATCGTCTGTGAACAGCTGCGAGCACTGCAGTGACAACCATGTCTTTTTTTTTTTTTTTTTCCCATCCATTTTAAGGAATTATTTACATTTCCTCCCCACCGCTATTACTCTTTTTTACCGCGGGGATCGCACCTCTCCCGGCTCAGAGCGGGCGGCAGCGTCCCCTCGGCAGGGTCCTTCCCTCCCCGGCGGCGGGGGGCAGGGCCTTCAGCAGGTCACTTCAGCAGGTCCTTGGTGTCCGCCGAGATCCGGCCCATGCCGGAGGCGGAGAGGGCAGAGAGGTGAGGCGGGGGGGGCACCTGGCAGATGGTGCAGGGGCACGGCAAGCCGGCCCAGTGCTGGAAGCCGCCGCCGAGCTGCAGCGCGGGGGGAGTGGAGGGGGTCTTCAGCAGGGAGTGGGGCGGCCGGATGGTGCCCAGGGCCGGCAGCGAGGCTGGCAGCGACGGGGACGCGTTGGCGGAGGAGAGGGCCCCGCCGAGGATGGGGTGCACCTGGTGCACGGCTCCGGCTGCGTGGGGCGGGTGCGCGGCGGCGGAGTGGCCCACGGTGCCGCAGTGGAAGGCCGAGTGGTGGCCACCGTAGATCTCCCCCACCAGGCGTTTCATCTCCTCCAGGGAGCTGGTGAGCATCAGGATGTAGTTTCTGGCCAGCAGCAGGGTGGCGATTTTGGAGAGTTTCCGGACGGAGGGGCCGTGCGCGTAGGGCATCACCTCCCGCAGCCCATCCATGGCCAGATTGAGGTCGTGCATCCGCTTGCGCTCCCGCCCGTTGATCTTGAGCCGCAGCTGCTGCAGGTCCTGCTCCGAGAGTTGCTTCTTGATCTTGTACTTGCCGCCCTCCCCCTGCGCCTTGGGGCCTCCCCGGGCCAGGCCCTCCCCGGCCATCTTCTGCACCAGGTCGCCCTGCGTGGAAGAGACGGGGTTGAGGCGGCTCTCCGGGTGGTGGTGGTGGTGGTGGTGGCGGTGCTCCCGCAGGTACATCTCGTCCATGTCCGGCGAGGAGGCTCTGCTGGAGACGGAGCTGGAGTCAGAATTCATTGTACTCGAGCGCCGGAGCGAGACACCTTGCCCTGATCGGGAGGCGGCGGAACGGGGCGGCTCCTCTGTGGGGCACCGAGGGATGGACGGGTCGGACGGCGCCGGGCGGGCGGGCGGCAGCTCGGGGCGGCAGCGGGGGAAAGAGTCCTCTGCCCCGCGGCAGCGCTGCCCCGCGCCCCGCTCTCAGGGACGGCGGTGGGTGTGTGCCGGGACTGACCTCCGCCTGCTTACGAGGGGCTTTTATAGGGCTGCGGCGGAGAGCGGAGACAAAAGGAGCCCTCCTATGTATAGCGGTGTAGTTGGGATGACGTGCCGTTATTCAGGGCGGTGCGCTTTGACTGTCCCATTTAGCGAGGACCCCCATTCATATTCATGGCGGTGCCACACGGGACACCTCAGCCACGGACCGTCAGGAGCCGAGGAGACACAAAACCCCTCTGATTGACACCGCACACCCGGCGCTCCGCGTGCCCGCCACCTCCTCCCCCTGCCCCTCATTTCCAGTATAACAAGGCACCCCGTTCGCTGCGAGGAGCCAGGGCCGCGGGGACTGCCCGCCCGTCGGGGCCGCCCGGCCCTCCCCTCCCAGCTCGGCCCCGCGTTCAGGGTCGGTCGTGCGGCACCGGCTGCACAGCGTCCGCCCGGGGAAGCGACCGCGGTGATCCCGAGCCGCTGCTCCCGGCCCCGACGAGCTGAGAGCGTGAGGTCGGCACCACTCGCGGGGAGCCGCCGGGTGCGCTTCCACCCGCGAGCGTGGGCATGGGAGAGAGTTCCCGGCGGGACAGCGGGATGGTAAAAGGGTGTGGGGAGATGAGAGAGGGAGGAGTGGGGAACTGTCATCCGCCGAGTCGGACCGTGCTTCGTCTGCTGAGGGAAATTAAAGCCTTCTCATTGTCGGCACTGAGAGAGAATCCCACAGGGGAAGGGAAGAGAAAAGAAGAAAAGGAAAAGGGAAAAAGGAAAAGAGAAAGGAAAAGAGAAAGAAAAAGAGAAAGAAAATGAGAGGGAAAAAGAAAAAGAAAAAGAAAAAGAAAAAGAAAAAGAAAAAGAAAAAGAGAAAGAGAAAGAGAAAGAAAAAGAGAAAGAAAAAGAAAAAGAGAAAGAGAAAGAAAAAAGAGAAAGAGAAAGAGAAAGAGAAAGAGAAAGAAGAAGAAGAAAAAGAGAAAGAAAAAGAGAAAGAAAAAGAAAAAGAGAAAGAAAAAGAAAAAGAAAAAAAGAAAAAGAAAAAGAAAAAGAAAAAGAAAAAGAAAAAGAAAAAGAAAAAGAAATGAGGTAAATCACCCCGTGCTTAGGAGGATGTATCAGAAATAACTGAACGGGACGTCGGCTCATTCCGCTGCCGCCGCGACAGCCGTGAGCCCAAGCAGCATTCCTCACTCGTGGACACGGCACCGCCGGACCCGGCCGCCGCCGACCCATCGTCCGCTCCCGCAGAGCCGCTCCGTCGGTCCCGTTCCTGCTTCCACCGCCCCTCCCGGCGGGTCGGGCCGAGCGACATGCGCTCAGCATACGGAGGCAGCGGCTGCCACGCAGCGTCGGAAGGAAAACGGAGATCGGCCGCCGAGGAGGGAACAGAGCGAGGAAAGAGAGGCGCCGTCGGGGAAGAAACAGGAACAGCCTGGCTGGTGGGGGCCGTCCCGCAGCGGGCCGGGGCTCGGAGCGGATCGCGGCTCCGCCTGGAGCCGGGGTGAAAGTGGGAGGTGGGACGCGGGGGGCCGCTCTGCCGGGTCAATCCGCGTCGAAACTTTCCCCGACGGAACTAACACCGGGAGTCGGAAAGGCAATGCTGCCGGCATCGGGGCTGAGAGAAAGGTGAAAACGGCGGCTGGACGGCAACTAACCCAAAGTAACTTTCATCCCTCCTCTTTTTAATATCCGTTTTTATAAAGGCTGAGAGATTTGCCGAGGGAGGAAAACGCGTTTTCTGCGGAAGGCGGACGACCTCGGAGAGAACGGGGCATAAGGAGCGCTCCCGGCGCCGGTGCCGGGCTCAGAATAGACCCCGGAGCCGCGGCTGCAGCGGGGCCCGAGCGTACGGTACGCGGGACGGGGCTGAGAGGGACCTCCGCGCGGGGCTGCGCGTCCTTCAGTGCGCTCTGTCGGGTGCCGGGTGCCGAGGGCGCCTTGAGGCAGCGCCCAGTTTTGAATTCTCAGAGTTTCGGGACATCGGGAGAACTTTTCTCATACACAGCATCGCTCTGAAGGAATATTACACCTCGCTTCTCGTAACTTCATCGACCTTTATCGGCCGGCGTCTCGGAATCCGATTCGTTATTTGCCGAGAACTTAAATGTTTCTTGCGGTTTTGTTAGTAGGCTATAAAGTTTTATGACTTTCGCCCTCTCTGCTTGCTTTTAATTCAATTTGAGCGTTTGGACAACCATGCTTTTAGCGTTAAACAGTTACACGCGTTAGCGCTGTAATGAGGGCGTTGCTGACGGGCAGCAGAGAAGCTCCCTGCTTCAGCTGCGGCTCTCCGCCGGCATCTCCGGGTGAGCGCAGCCCCGCTCGGGTGCCATCGCATCCATCGGGTCGGGCTGGCAGACGGCACCCATCTCCTTTTAGGCAGGGCGGCCCAGGCTCCCGAACCGCCCGCCGGCTGCGCTTACAGTTTATTACCGGGTTGCATTTCGATTGACGGTGTAATTCCGATTGATGCTCCTCGTCACCTGACGCTGCCTTCACCAAAGCGATGAGATTTTATTTCCCGTGTTGGCCGCGAATTTACTTTGCAGAGGCAGGGTATTACGAGTTGCCTCAGAATTTGATACGGTACTCAAATTCTGCAGCCAGATAAACCCAGACTGGACGCTCTGCCGGCAGAACGCGGGGCGTTCTCTTCTCTGTTCAGCTATTTTCAAACTCGTTGGCAACGCGGAATCACAGCAGAACGTTATTAAGCAAGAAAAAGGAGATCGTGCTCAGTTCGAAGTGTCCCACAGCTGCCGGTGGGATGGAGCCACGCTGGTGTTGCTGCTGAGGGCGCACAGCCCCGCTGGGCACAGCCGAGGGGCACCGCGTTGCCGCTCATTAAGGACGACATTTTACTTTCTGTATTTCAGTACTGATTTGCAAAAGTTCTTGAAAAAATACGCTGGTATAACTTATCAATAAAATTTAAATTGTCAGACACTGATTACTGAGTGACGTGTTAATTGCTAATCCTCTGATATACGACAAAAGCCTGAAATTAGCTTCTGTAAATAATAAATGGCATTTCATCAATAGTTTTATTTTTTCCTTTTTTTCCCCTTTTTTTCCTTTCTTTTTTTTTTCCCTTATAACAAATGCAATTGAAACATGCACTTTATTTTGAGAAGAGCTTATAGAAAGTCAAGCGAATGTTTCTAAAGCTCCCAGCCACGCCGTAGTTCATCCAACTGTGAAATATTTTGCTGTCCTGAGAATTTGAGAAGAACAAAAGAAAAGATGATTAAGTACCCATCGATCAGTTTGTTTTAAATGTCTGGTAATATTGGCACTGCCTTCACGACGCTGCACTCAGCCGCAGAGCGAAGGCTGCGATGCACATTTCACATACACAGATCTGCACACTTCAATGTGCAGGGCTCAATGTGGGGTTCTGGACAAACAAACTTTGGAACCGAGGCTGAGTTGTTACAGCACTGAATGATAATAACACCGCTCAGCAGCCTGTATTTATTTTCTCTTCAGCCCATGTTCATATTTAAAATACTAACGTTGAAAATAGACAAATTTCTTTGTCTTTCTTGCCTGCCTCCCACATCTCTTACAGTCCTTTGCACTCACATCACCACAAACTCCCCCCATCCGCTCACACTTGTTACAGAAATTCACCCATTGGCTTTTAAGACCCCTTTCCCTCACTGCTTTTGCAGGTGGTTGCTGTTTACTGAGTTCACCTTGAAGCCACACAAGCCATGGAAATATCAGCTACATGCAAAGCAGAAGACAGAGAATGCGTGAGAGGCTGCCCCCGCCTCTGTGCTCCCCATCACACACCCCAGATGCACCGCTGTTTGGTAAAAGCTTCTCAGCTGATGAAAGTTCTCTTAGGCCCGAAAGGAAACCTTGGCGTTACAAAGACTAAAGATTGAAATGTTTTGCTGTCTCGGAAACAAGCGTAAGATTAATTTTTAACATCTACAGTGGAAACAAATAAAGCCATAGAAATTATTGAAAATCTCTCCCAGTAGACATTAGGGAGCATGGGTGACTCTTTAAAGAGAAAGAAAAAAATCCTTGTCTCATTTTGTATCTCAATTTTAAACAATGCGTGTCTCGGGCAAATATTTATGGGTAGTTAATAGGCTAGTACAAATTCTAGAAGACACAACAAAAATTATCTGCAGTCTATTCACAAACCTTTGCCACGTCTCAGTGTTTGGGGATGGGCGTAGGGGCTGCCTTCACCACTCCTGAATAGAACTCTATTGTGTGGGCTTGTTCCACTGGGATCAATGGGACGACATGTGCAATGAGATGCTAATGAACACCAGAAACCACGGTAAAATCTGGCCCGGCCAAGGCGTAGAGCTGGTTTTATAAATCATTCTGAGTCTCTTGCTATACTGCTTTTAGTCAAGCTGTTGAAACTTCAAACATTCAGGGAGGTTTTGCTGTATAAAAAATTGTTTTTGTTGTTGTTGTTACTGCTTCTGGGGTTTTTTTTAGGTCGCATTTTCCCTCCCTGAAAAAGTGAATCCATTCTCACCTTGTTCAAAGTTGCAGCTGAGATGAGGCGGTCCTGTTTTCATGGCAATTGCCGTGTTGATGCAAGTGCATTCCCACAAACAGAAAATGAAATACACTGGAGGAAAATAACATCAAGCACAAGTATAAAACAGAAGAATGATGACATTCAGAAAGAGGCACGCAAGGACAGTGCTGGCATCGCTTTGCCCAATGGTCATTGCCCACCACACCTGCAAAAAAAACAGCCCATCTTCTGAAAGGTTTGCTTTGCACACAATGGGGATAGCACTCCAGAGAAGTCCCTGAAGACCAGTGTAACTGCA